AAATAGCATATGGTCGAGAACCAATGATAATCAAGAAAGAAGTTCAAGCATTTCTTCATGTGCTTGTTAGCCATCTGAATGTCATCTTTGGTGAAGTGACTGTTCATATCCTGTGCCCATTTTTCTATTGGATTCTTTACCTTTATCTTGTTGTGGTGCTCAAGTATTTCATAAATTCTGGATATAAGTCCCTTATCTGATATGTTATTACCGAATACCTTTTCCCAGTCAGTGGCCTCCCTTTTTACCCTGTTGAAGAAGTTTTTGGATGTGCATGTTTTGAAATTTCAAGTGTACTCTTCACCTCCTAGTTAACTAGAGTAAGGATAATAACTAGAAAGAATTCTAAATATTTGTAGAATAGACTTGAAATCAAAGAACATATATTCCAAAATTAAAACAGTCATGTACTAGATTTTACATTACCGTGTTCATAATTTAACATAATTTGTCTTTGAACCTTTTTAGATGTTTAATAACTTATAATGCAAATATAGCCTGAATAATATGATGATGAAAAGCAGCTTTAATTATCAACTCACACTAAACTTTTATTATTACCCTACTTACTTTTCTGTATTATTTTGCTGTAAATCTCATGTACCATGTATTATACCATCTGTTTATCATTATATCAGTATTATTGTACTATTACAGTGCTTTTATCATGTTTGAAAAGAAAATATTAGTTAACCATTATTCAGACTTTAATTTATTAGAAATATCAAAAGTGGCTTATTTTATCAGAAAAATGGCTCTCTTTTTTTTCAAATGTGTAGTTTTTTTATATTTTTTATAAATTAGGTCTCAACCAACTAGGCATTATTTAAAGTTAGGCTTAGTTATTAAGGATATTTCCCAATTATACTGACTTTGAAAATCATTTTGTATAGCCAGATTCCATTATTTGTTAACAGAATACATTTTTATGGCATTCTACATTAAAGCATTTGTGTTTTCAGGGTTTCTTTGATTAGTATAAAGCACTAAGTCACTGCTTTCAGTGATTTAGATGGAATAATCATTATGAGTCTACAAATTGGAGAGTTCTGGTGGCTTAGTGGGTAAAGACTTAGATTAACCCAAAGGCGTGCAAAGTTTGAATCCACTACCTGCTCCTTTGGAGAAAGATGGGCAGTCTTGTCCTTTTATAGCCTCTGAAGACCCACTGTAGGGTCAGCTGAGTCAGTTCCAACTTGATGGATTGAGTGAATGATTCTACACATTATAGTGTTGAACTATAAGATACAAAATTTCTTCTCACTAAATTTCAACACCATTTAAGAAAATCAGTTTTCAGTATTTTTTCCCTTTGTTGTTGTGTATTTTATTAAAATTTTTAAGTAATTATACAGTATTTTTATGCTGGGGAAGTTTTGTGTTGTTTGGTTTGTTATTTTTTGTACTGTTGGGTTGTTTTGGTTTTTTTTTTTTTAATTTTCTAATAAACAGTGATATGCTTATCTTCGTTTACTATATCCTATGTTTCATTTTCTTAAGAATATGTATCTAAAGTTTTGATAAACCTAGTATAAGGAGTTGTGCTGACAACCACAAAGCACCCAGTCCAAACCTACCAGCCGTTCTGTTCAATATAGCTCCGAAAACCTGGTGGAAGGTCTATAAGTCAGATGACTCAGTAGCGTATAATAATATAAACAAAGATATGATGGAAATAAAATACGACTATATTCGCAAATCTTTAAAATCAACCTAGGATTGCACCATTTTTAGAAAGCTTATCTGTGACTTGTGTTAATGTCCTGTCCTTTACGAAGATCTTATCCTTAATTAACCAAATTTGAAATTTGAAGACTTACCGTTATAGTCTGATGTGTGTTTAACCCAAGCCAGGGTGTTTTCAGCTACTTCACATACTTGTGAAAGTTTGACAATGAATAAGTTGAGATGTTGGGGAATATAGTAGACCCAAAAGAATTCTGTCTCCAAGAAAGAACGAACAGACTGCTCTTTGAAGGAGGGGTCTGGTGTGAAGGATGTTAGAACTTTGTCTCACATTACTTTGGATATGTTGTTGGTGTGCCAGTCCTTGTTAAAAGACATCATGCTGGAAAAGCAGAGGAGAGTGCAAAAGAGGATGGCCTCTAAGGAGATAGACTAATCCATTGCAATAGTAGTCTGCAGTAGTTAGGATCATTAGGGTGGTGCAGGATAGGGAAATAAAGATTCTGATCCCTTGTTCTTAGGTTACTATAAAATAGGATTGACTTGATAGTAATGAGAAAGAAGCTTCAAAACATTTTCATAATTGCATTATATATTTCAGGCAAGCTTTGTGGCCTCTGGGAACCGAACAGATATTTCTTTAGATGATCCTAATTTCTGGCAGAAATGGGCTAAAAAGGCAGAAATTGATATAGATACTGTCAGTGGCAGAGTAAGTATTTTTTCTGTCTAAAAAATGTCATTTTAAAATTGTTATATTTTATCATTATAATATTTATTGCTAATACTATATTTCAAGATGTTTAATTCTGCCATTGATGAATGCATTTTTACATAAACTACATTTTGCAGTTGTACACTCATTAAAGCAGGTACTGTTTCAATTTAATACTTATGTCTAGCATAGATTTGGCTATTTTAATTGTTTCATTATCTTCAAAATCACAGGTTAAATACGTTCTATTATTTTGCTTGCTTGATATAAGGGTTTGGTGTCCAATTCCTTTAAGAATGATTTAGGCATATGACGAAAGGGAAAGAGGATAGTAAGTTTAGTGAATTAATTGTTTGATAATTTCCAGATTCTTTTCCATCACCTGTTTTGGGAATGAGAACAATAAGTTTCTGTCCTAGAGTACTGTATCCAAGGCTGCATCTGTTTGATGAAACATGTCAATTGGTATTCTATCAATTCCTGGGGCTGTACTTTTGCAACTGCCTTCGGTGCAAATTTAATTCCTTCCTTCAGTATCAATGAGTCTTATTCTTCTGACAGTTCCTGCATTGTCTTAGAGTTGTCAAGTTATTTTTGGTACATTCCTTTCATCTTCTGATGCTTCCTGCATCGTTTTGGATTTTCCCCATAGAATCCTTCAGTATTACATCCCTATGTTTAAATTTGCTCTTTGGACACCATAAAAAAAGATCAAATAACAAGTTCCTTGAAGAGTATTTTCAAGAGTTAAGAATATTTTCAATAAATAATTGCTTAATATTTGTTTAACTACATTAAACAAATGCGATTCATAGCCCTCAGTTCCTGGTTGAAAAGTCAACTGAGTCACTTCAACTATACTGCAATGATTTTTTTAAATTACATATTTAAAAATATTTGCACTCTAGAAAATATTAAAGAGTTTTCTGAAGTATTTTATATTACCAAAAAAAAATTATAGAGAAATTAAAATATAAAGTATAAAAACTGATGAAGACTAAAAGAATAGAAAAATAAAAGTTTTCATATGAGAAAAATACTGGAAAAAGAAGGTTTTTTTTCTTTTTTTCTATAATTATATTTTATCAATTTTCATAAACATTTACAGAGATTTTGGGCTTCCACTCATTCATTGTTGCACTATTCTCTCTACCCTCCTCCCAGTTTGTTCTTGTCCAAATGCCACAGTGCTTGTCAAAGCCAGTTCTGATTAATCTTCTTTGTCAGTGTATCCTTTGCCATTCCCTATCACTCCTCCCTGAGAGAGACTTCACCCTGAGTCATAAGGAAAAGGGGACGGCGTATTCTCTTAGCTACTTCCTGCTGAAAAGGGACGCTGTGGGTTTCAGGCTGAAGATCTTCTCTCACTACTCTAAAGGGCCCCTTTGGCAGTAGGAAACACATAGACTATTATGGAGATTGATTTTGGAATTCAGATGCACTCTTATTGATTGTGCTTGGCTGTACATGTACATATCCTTCAAGATGTATCATGGGGGTGTTGCAACCTAGAAGACACAAATTTGACTAACCAGTTATAAGTACATGAGTCCAAAAATTATGGAAAAGTAAAAGAAAAGATTCTTTCATTGTTTTACAAACACTCCCCCAGGTCCCCTCCACCATGCAGCCCTCGCTCTAGTCTCCTGTGATGACAGAAATACCCAGTTACATCTCTCTTTTAGATAGTTCTCTCCCTCCTCTGTTTCAGTGCAGTATACATTATTGAACCCATCTTACTCAGCCTCTCCCCAACCCCAAGGACAGTCCCATTGTACAACAGTGGCATCATGTAATATTTGTCCTTTTGTGACTGGGATATTTCACTCAGCATAATGTTCTCCAGAGTCAACCATTTTGAATAATATTGCATGAGTTCCTTGTTTTTTAATGCAGCATAGTATTCCATTGTGCGAATATACCACAGCTTCTCTAGCCATTCGTTTGTTGATGGGCACTTTGGTTGTTTCCAACTCCTTGCTATTGTGAACAAAGCTGCAATAAACATGGGTGTGCATATATCTGCTTGGATGTCAGCTATGGTCTCTTCAGGGTATATTCCCAGTAGTGGAATTGCTGGGTCAAATGGTATCTCTATTTGCAACTTTTTGAGAAAGCGCCATACTGCTTTCCACAGGGGTTGCACCATTTTACACTCCCACCAACAGTGAATCAGGGTTCCAGTTTCTCCACAACCTCGCCAGCATTTGTTGCTTGCGGAAAAAGAAGTTTTTTTAATTAACAAGTTTTGTCATTGGGTAAAGCATTAGATCCACACCTTATAATAATATACTCAATCCTGAATAATTTCCAATTTGTGTTTATACTTTTAATATTTGTTTAAATAAAAGTAAAAGGGAAATACATTTCTCTTCAGTGTCACTTAAAATCAAGGAAACTGTTATCTGCTCTCTTTATCTTGGATTCAGTAAAAAAAAATGGAAAATATTACAGGCAGGGTAAAAACAGTCCCTCAGAAATCAAGAGGAAGTATTTTATGCTTTAATCAGCACCAGAATCAGTTTGATTACATCTGTGGAAACAGTCATTGGAAAAGCTGAATAGCAAATGTGAAAACTAGGCCAAGTCCTGACTGTATAATGGACCATTAACTCCTCCTGTGAAAATTCAAATTGAAGCTAAACAAAATTAAAACACATCCCAAAAAACCAAAATGTGACCCTGAGTGTGTCCCACATGAATTTAAAAACCATTTCAAGAATAGTTATGAGGCCTTGAACACTAATGAATAAAGACCAGACCAGTTGTGGGATCATGGGAAGAATATCACCCATGAAGAATGCAAAAGATCGTAATTAGACTGAATTTTGTACTAAAATGCCAAACAGTAGTAAACATTCAGAACGTTTAGTTGAGCATTATGGTTTCAAAGGGCACCTTGAGAAGACAAAGCAAAGTATTAGATGGAAAGTGAAGTTGAAAAGTCAAAATGTTGGAGTTGGAAAATCAAAATGGATGAGCTTGTTCAGTATTTCTTAAGCTAAAGAAATCGAAGAACAAATTCAAACCTCCAGTGACAATACTCAAAGATGCTATGGACAGAATAATGAATGATCCAGAAAGCATCAAAAGAAAATGGAAGAAATACTCAGAATCACTACACCAAAAAGAATTGGCTGACACAGAACAATTTCATTAAATGACCAAGAAGTAATGCTAATTATAGGAGGAAGTTCAAGCTGCTCTGAAGGCATTTTCACTAAATAAATAAATAAGGCTCGAGGAATTGATACAATACCAATTGACATATTTCAACAAATAGATGCAGCCCTGTATCCACCCACCAGGTTGTACCAAGAAATCTCCAGATAGTTTTCTGGCCAACTGAGTGGAAGAGATTTATATTGATTCCCTTCCCTAAAAAGGTCATCCAACAAAGTGTCGAAATTATCAAACCATATCACTAGTATCACATGGACGCAAAATAGTGAAGATTTTTTAAAATGACTGGAGCAGTACATTTACAGAACTGCCAAAAGTACAAGCTGGGGTTTTAGAAGTGGCTGTGGCCTTAGGGATATCATTGCCAGTATCTTTGCCGAAAGCAGAAAGTACCAGAAGGATATGTATTTGTGTCTTATGGACCATACAGAAGCATTTGACTGTGTGGATAACAACAAATTGAGGCTGACATTGAGAGGAATGGGAATCCCCGAACATTTGATTGTGGTCATGTGAAACCTACATCTAGACCTGGAAGTTGTCATATGAACAAAGTAAGGGAACACTGCATGGTTCAAAATCAAGAAAGGAGTGCTTCAAGAGTATATCCTTTCTCCATACCTTTTTAATCTATATGTGGAACAGATTATTCAGGAGTTTGACTTTAAGAAGAATGTGGCATCAGATTTGGAGGAAGACTCACCAACAACCTGCATTATGCAGATGACACAAGCTTGCTGGCTGAAAATGAGGTGGACGTGAAGCATTTGCTCCAGCAAGCAAGTCAGCATCATGATAGATATTGAAAAGATTGAGGATGCTGATAATTTTGTCTCACTTGGATCCACAATCAACACTGTTGGCATTAGCAACTAACCAAAGGGTACATTTCTCTGGCGGTTCAAATCCTCTGTCCGCTCCCTGAGAGAAGGATGAGCAGTCTCCTTGCATGTGATTCTGTCTCAGAACCTAAAGGAAGGTGGTCAGATAAAAGTCATTTCTGACTAAATGGCAGAGTAAGTAGGTGAGTGGCATACTGAGAATAATCTGTCTGTAGTTGTTTTATTTGTGCCTTTTAAAAAGAGAAATTATAAAGCATTGTTACAGGCAAAAGCATGTACGAGCTTTCATGTAATAGCTGTTAAATTTTACAGAACAGCTTGGTTATTGACACTCCACGAATTAGGAAGCAAACGAGACCCTTTAGTGCCACAAAAGATGAATTGGCTGAATTATCTGAAGCTGAAAGTGAAGGAGATGAAAAACCCAAACTCCGGAGACTATGTGACCGTTCTAATGGCTATGGGAGAACTGAATGCTTTAGAGTAGAGAAGAATCTGCTAGTTTATGGGTAAAACATTTTTAATATCTTATATAATATAATATATATTATAATATATAATCTTGATATCTTACATACATTTATTAATTAGTATCCTGTATAAAGTCACAGAAACACTATATTGTTCCCAAGTATGAATTTTATTTTACTATTGATAGAAATCTAATTTTTCATTCTATGAATTTGTGTTTAAATTCTTTTAAAAGATAGAAATCTTTGTGTTCTTGAAATAAAATGTATCTTTAAATTGGAAAAAAAATCTTTGTGTTTAAATTATAAGTGCTTCTCCAAAGTCAAACACAGTTATTTGCATATTCATTAATAACAAAATTAAGAATGTTATATAATAAAATATAGTAGAAATTCTCATACTGAAGCTCTTCATTTTACTCATGTGGTGCAGAGCTTCATTAACACGTTGCCGCAAATGATGGCAAATAAGTTTCTAAGCATGGTCATCAATTTTTAAAGTGTGCTGCAACGTGTTAAGCACATAATATTAGTAAGAATTTTTTTCAATCTTTTGGGACTTTTAACCATGGGTTATATTTTTCTTTATCAAATGGCTCAGTATTAATATACAGGTGTCTCTTTTTCTTGACTAGGTGGGGCCGATGGAGAGAGATACTCTCTCATGGTCGATTTAAAAGGCAGTTGAATGAACATGATGTGGAGATAATTTGTCGAGCCCTCTTAGCTTACTGCCTTGTTCATTACCGAGGTGATGAGAAGATTAAAGGCTTCATATGGGATCTCATTACTCCAACTGAAGATGGGCAAACACGAGAGCTACAAAATCATCTAGGTAAAAATATGACTTAATTTCTTTTAAAATTTACTTTTTGTTAACGATATTTCATATATTCTCATAAAATAATAAAGCATTAGATAAAATGTTCAACATAACCTTAACTTCCACCTCCGAATTTATGTTCAACTTCAAAATACACCAATGTTACCAGTATGGTGACTTTTACATTATTTACCAAATATGTATTGATGTACAGCTATTGACCTGATTGTATGCCTTAGGAGTCTTTCTAAATATGAATGGAAACACAGGAATCTGCACATTAAATTAAACTTTTAAAAATTCTGTTTGGTGTTAACTAACATGGTTGTGGCATAGTGCCAAGAAGCTGTGCTGCAATTCTGAAGGCGTACGGTTCGAGTCCCCCAGCTGCTCCTCAGGACAGTCTCCTCCCATGCGTTTAACTGCCTTGTCTTTATAGTGTTTTACTTCATAGATGTTATTACACATTTTCTTGTTTTAACAGGCCTATCAGCTCCAGTACCCAGAGGTCGAAAAGGGAAGAAAGTAAAGACTCAAACAAGCTCATTTGATATACAAAAAGCAGAATGGCTTAGAAAATATAATCCTGAGCAACTACTTCAAGATGAAGGCTATAAAAAACATATAAAACACCACTGTAATAAGTATGTAGAAAGATCTTTTTTAACATTTAAAATTCTTTAAAAGATTACTTTTTTGAATGTATTAATAATATTAAAGCATAATGTTTTGACTACGGAGGCAGCAGTTCTAATCTTAATATTATAGGAATCTATAAGCCAATCATAGTACCTCTTTGTCACTTTTTGTTATTAGGAGCTATTATGTCATGTAAAGACCTATAGCAAGTCAACAGACAGCAGATCTGAACCCTGTCCTGTCCGGTGTCGTCCTCCCCCCTCATCTCTGACATATGTTACATGCCATCATGATGGCTCTGACCCACAGCACCAGAGTGAAATCCTGATAATCCTATATGATACATACTGTCTTTCTTGGAGTCACTAAGGAGAAATGCCTCTTGAATGATTTAATTTTCTCTTAGTTAAATTGTAATGCCTGTTGATTTTAGAAAACCCTGTTTTAAATGTATTATCGTAGTAAGTTTCATTTTATGAGAAATAATTTCATCTGAAAATTCAGTGTAAAAATTTTTCCCCGATTTTAATGCCCTTGTTGAAATTTTTTAATGATTGATATCTTTGTGCCTCTTTTTTCATTTTCTTCCATTTTTAGGGTTTTACTACGTGTGAGAATGCTATATTATCTAAAGCAAGAAGTTATTGGAAATGAATGTCAGAAAGTATTTGATGGAGTTGATGCAAGGTAAATGAAAGAATATGTGTTTCTTCAGTACAATTACAAAGCAAGTTATTTTATCATAAATTTGCATACTCCTAGCCAGCCCACTGCTGTTGAATTGATTCCAACTCATAGTGTCTACACAGAACAGAGTGGAACTACCCTTATCTATAGGCTTTCCAAAGTTATAAGTAGGCATGTCTTAAGAAAATTTTATCATGAAATTTTATAATTGAAACTAACGTCTGTTAAGCTTAAAAATGTCATTTATTTTATTGTCTTATTGATGTGAGAAGTGTTATATTATTGGTCTGCTAACTGAAAAGTCCATGCAAACAAGATGTTCAGTCTCCTCACACATAAATTACACCCCCGGAAGCCAAATCAAGGGTTCCTGTGCATTGTTAGTGATTCTTTGTAAATTGTTTGGATTGGTTGATACTGTGTATTACCTTTAAACCATGGTAATTACATAAAATAATCCTTAAAATAGGAAATAAACTTTTAACTTCCTTTTAAAGAAAGTTCACAGTGCTTTAGAAATTAGGTTTAGATTATTAACACCTCTGAACATTTTTAAAATTTATTCATAAGGGTATATAATGCTTTTTTTTTTTTAAAGTGACATTGATGTTTGGGTCCCAGAGCCAGACCACTCAGAAGTTCCTGCTGATTGGTGGGATTTTGATGCTGATAAATCACTCCTTATTGGAGTTTTTAAGCATGGTAAGTTGGAAGTGAAGTAAAGTGGATCCTTTTGTTTTATAGTATAATCCAAATTACATCTTTATTCCTGTGACACCTTACTCTTTTTTGCAGCATTAGAATCAAACACTGCCACATGATTGTTTCTAGAAAGCATATTTAACCTACATCATTTTAACATATGCTAATGTTAGGCCAGAGAGCATATCCACCATTAGTGCCAGGAATACTTACATATTGATAGACCTATTTTCTTTGTTTCCTTTCTACATATGTAATTTCCAGGTTATGAAAAATACAACACCATTCGAGCAGACCCAGCATTATGCTTCTTGGAAAGAGTGGGGAAACCTGATGAGAAAGCAGTTGCTGCAGAACAGAGAGCAAATGATTATATGGATGGGTATGTACATTTCAAAGTCATAGATTCTTTACTTGCTCTTCAGTATAAAGCTATTCAGTGTCCATGATAGTAAGATAGTAAGAGAATTAGTAAGAGCTAATGGTGTTACAGTAAAATAGCACCCATACGCAGAGAATGATCCTGAACGAGGCTGAAATTGGAACTGCCCCTTACCTGTTCTTTTGATAAGTCCTGTCCTTTATTTTCTAATTATCTCATGGTGACTATTAAGAATATAATATTTCCCCCTTTTGTCAGTGACCCACTGAGCTGTTAAGGGCAGAATAAAAACACAACTTTGGGGTGAAACATTAACATCTTATTTTGTTTTTCTTCAGTCAGTGGTGTGACAAAGTATTCTACCTTCAGGATTAACTGAAGTGTGAAAGTGGCAAGTCTTTCTTTTGGGGGAAGTGCTGCTAGTAGATAAAATATTCTAATATGGGGGGAAAAGAGTTCTAGGGACACAAGAGGTAATAAAAGCAGGGAAAAATATTACAAAGAGAAATGTGATGTTGTGCTTAGGCTTTAAAGTCTTTATTTTTTACTAAAAGAGAGTATTATGATGTAATTATATTTGAGAATAACCTTATGTAAAAAAGACAGTAAACTTGAATGGAACACAAATTTTTAAAAACACCAATTAAAAAAAGAGTAATCTTCAGCAGTGTCCCCTTTACCTGCCATGTAACAGCTTTTACACTATGGCTTGGACTCCTGTCTCTACAGCACAGTGACTTCAAAAACTAGATTCGGAACATTTCCTTCAAAAGCCGATTCTTCCGTTAGGATTCTTTTTTGATCTACTTGAGAAAAATCTGAAATCTGTCATATTGAATTACAGCATTTATATTTTAACAGGGATGTGGAAGATCCAGAATATAAACCTGCCCCAGCTATCTTTAAGGATGACATAGAGGTATGCTTTGTGTCGTCCTTTCAAACCCTACATTTCCACTATCCTCTGTTTATTTTTTCTGTTGCATGCTTTTCCTGTGTATGTTTTCATTGTAAATCTTGTTTTTCATAAGATTAGCCAAGTCATCAACTTTGGCTGAGAAACCATGCAAATAATTATTCATAATTTGCTTCATTTTACCACCTAAGTGAATTTGATCTTATTGGCTTGATTTTGTGGGTGGAAGGAGGCTTGCCGTTGTATATGGTCCCTTTGGAACTCCTGTGTGTTGGGTTATGGTTAGCATTTAGCACTGTTAAACTTGATGCTATACACCAGAACACAGTAACAGATGGGAACTATGCCTTTATAAAAGGAATTCCTATATAAAGGGCTTTGAAATAGAGTATGGTGCTTAAAGAATTGTTTTGTGCCACCAAAGCATACTTCTAAGTGCTCTTCTTATAAAAGCCCAAAGGGAAAGTAAAATCTGGATGATAAGACAGAAAAAAATCTATAAAACTGAAGAAAGGAAGTGAGGACTTTTATAGTGTTAGTGAGAGCATAGTACAGGACTTGCTGTGATAGCTGTAAAACTCTTCTCAGCCTTGTCTTCTCATATTTTCTCTTTTTGTGATCTGGAATCACTCTTGTCAAATAGTAATATAAAGAGACACTCTAGTTACTTGCAATATAATAGAAAGAAATACCCGAATACCTCGTAAAAGGAAAAAGAAAAGATCTCTAGAAGAGAAAACTTTTGTCTAAAGTACTCTTGAATCTTAAAGATAAACCCTTCTTAAAATGAAACTAAAATCCAAGACTTAAAAACACATAAATAATTCACTGCAATTGAACTGAATGTTAGCAAATAAAATTAATTGTAAGATGAGACCATACAGAACTTCAGATCTACTGAAATAGGAAATAATATCATATTAAATAATTAAAGATATAAAGGAATTAGAAGCAAAAAGGAAAAGAATGAGTTTGAAAAATTATAATCATTTATATACAATAATCAATTTTAATTAATGTTACAACCAAAATATATATTAAGGATTGAATGATAATCTATATGATTTGTAAACTTTCTCTCAAAAAAGAATATTAATTTTTAAAATTAAAAGAAAACCTACAGTCTAAATAAAAATGTAAAATTGTGATTGAAAAAAGACTAGAGAGATATGAAAAAGAATTATATGTAACAGAATACAAAGATAACTAAATTCTAAATTTTGTAAATATATTAAGCATTCTGCTGGAGAAGCAGATTAAGATACTGTGTGAAAGAAGAAACTTTATGTAAAATATGTTATAGGGAAATTACCAAAGCATTGAATATGGTGTATGTACTAGTCAGGGAAGAGGAAGCTATACATTCACCATTTACACCCTTCAGCCTCCCCACCATGAACCCTGGCCTACTGGCTACCTAAAGTTTGTTTCCTCCCACACCTATGCACATTCACCCTCCAGGGCGTCAGGTCAAGGTTTGCTGCAGCCTTTTCCAATAAAGACGCTCAGCAGTACCCCACCTCTATCCCCAGTGGCAGGAGTACCAGGGAAAGCTGGTGGCTGTGTCTGCTTACTGAGCCTTAGAAATCTACCTGCTGTCCTGGCGCTAGACCTTGGGCAAACTTTGAAAAACTGTCTTGTGGTACAGGAACTGTGGTGAGCTCCAGACCAAGATGTAAAAACACTTTTCCTCCTGCAGTGCTTTGAACTTCTCTACAGATAAACATTGCACGAAAAACATAGTAACATTATACTAAACATCCAAAAATGTTTAAAGACCCAAACTACTAGCCACCCGCTATCAATTTTTAAGGCTGCCTATTTTTATGGGAAGAGACTGCTTCATCTTTCTCACAAGTTATATTCAAACTGCTCCTCTTTCATGCAGCCCACACATCATAGACCATTAGTCATTTTAGCAAATAACAATTGGTCTAAAGTGTGGAGGTAATGCAGAGGTGTAAAATGATAGCATGGAATTAGAAATAATTTTACTAGATTAATAATGAAGATGAAGTTGGTTTTGCAAAACTCATTCACACTTTTAAAAAGTCCAAGAATGTAGGAGGCTTTGATTTTCCCCTTACCTATATATCTTGTAGCATGTTACAATTGTCTGTTTTCTTTTAATAGGATGATGTTTCTTCACCAGGAGATCTTGTTATAGCAGATGCAGGTAAATGACATTTCTTAATGTCGCTTTATTATAAATGCAAATTTTTTTTTAACTATCAGATCCAATTTTTGTGTAGATAGGAGAGTTCTGAAAGCATATATCATAACCCAAAGATAGCACCTCTCTGGTTGTTCAAAATCCATCAGCGGCTTCATGGTAAAACGAGGGACAAACTCCTCCAGTGTGATTTAGCCTTCAAACATCAACCAGAGCTTCCCTGTGAGTCAGTTCCCAACTTCACAGCAAAGAGTGTGTGAATAAATGTAGGTGAATTTTTTTTTAATTCTATAGTGGTTTATATTTTAATCCATTTTATGTTCTCATGATGTTATGTTAACCTACAGAAATGCATAATATCACCTAGATCAGAAAATCGGTATAGAGCAGGCAAAAGGAAATTATGTAACAAGTGAAAAAAAAAAAAAAAGCATGATACTGTTTTGTCCTGGATCTCAAAATGGGTCCTCTACCACAGTAAAACAAAACATGATAAATGACTGGGTGAATAAGCAAGTCCCCTCCAAAACTGTGACATGGCACACTTTCTGGTGAGAAAGTAGATACATTCCCATGTCTTTTCCAATCCTGGAGGTGTTTGATGATAGCGACGGGATAAATGACTGGGTGGATAAGCAAGTCACCTCAAAAATTGACATGACACACTTCCTACTGAGAAAGTAGATCATTTCCCATGTCTTTTCCAAGGCTGGTGGTGTTTGATGCTGCTGCTGTTCCTACATCTACGAACAGCGATGATGTTCATTAGACTTTTGCTGTTGGCAGCTGTCTCAGAATCTAGCAAGGCTCTGTTTGAAGTCACTGTTTTTCTGACTCCTAACACCTTACTTAAAGGCACAACATTGTAATACTAGATTTTATAAGTTTGTTTCTTTGTAACATACTGACAATAATTAATTATTGGTTTTATCATTTTGACTGGTCAGATATGATTAAGAAATGATGATATGGATAATTGAAAGAAGTCCAAGCTGCATGAGGGCATTGATGAAAAACAAAGTTTCAGGAATTAACATGTTACTAATTGAATTGTTTCATCACCTGGATGCAGCATTGGAAATATTAATCTGTGCTAAGAAATTTGGGAAGATAACTGTCTAGCCAACCAATAGGAAGAGATGTATATTTGTGAAAGAAAGATTTATCTTTTTTTATAATTTCCAGAATTTGGAAATCATAGAAAAATTACCACTAATATCATATTCAATTAAGATCTTCCTTAGGGGACTTTATTTAAAGAAACTACTAGAAATTACAACCAGATTCAGAAGGGGACATGAACTAAGAATATCATTGCTGACATCCTATGAATGTTGTCTCAAAGCATAGATTGCATGATATGTACATGTGTTTTATTGACTGTGAAAAAGCATTAGCCTAAATGAATCCTGGCAGAATAGATAACATATTATAACATTTAGCATTATCTAACATTCCTCCTTTGAGGACTGAGGGATCCCTGAGCCAAGCCATCATATTTTCTGTTATTTCATATGCTTGTAAAAGTAGAACAATAAATATATACAACCAAAGACGTCCTGGTGCCTTTGAATTGTGGTGTTGGAAAACAAAGAGTATACCACAGAATTCCAGAAGTCCATCTTAGAATATATACAGCCAGAATGCTTCAATCAAGGATTTCAAAGTTAAGTATGTTCTTCAAAGGGTCCTGTCCCTAGAGAAAGGACCTCATGCTTGGTAGGAGGGTCGTGGAAAAGAAAAACCTGAATGACCTCACCTGCTACCGTGACTCAAACACAGAAGAGATTATAAGAATGACACAGGCAGTAGTGTTTCAGTTGTACATAGGGTTACTGAGTCAGAACTGACTGGGCAGCACTAACAATAATAAAACCAAAACAACCTAATGACTTTTAAAATACATTGATTCTAATTCAATCCTGTAGGCTTCAATTGTAAGTGTTTTACAGTATTAAACTTGTCCTGAATTATATTTTTTCTTTTATTTCTTTTATTTAAGTTAAGCCATTGAAATAATTTTTATAGTATCTGGAAATGCACAAGTTTTATGTCAAAGTGAAGGGCCTTTTGAATAGCCACCGCTGTAATTCTTTATATGGCAGTGGCCAGTTTATTCTGAGATGCTCTGTAAGTTCTCTATAGCTGTTTGTAATACTCAAAATATTTTTTAAGCTGTAGTTAAAGGAAACCTCTTCCTAATGAGAGAACCTTGTTGTAGTATCTGATTAGGGTTTCTTTTGATTATTGACAAAAGTTTCTTTAAACACAGATGGTCAATTGATGGAAGGTGATAAAGTTTATTGGCCTACTCAGTCAGCTTTAACAACGAGGCTGAGGCGTCTTATCACTGCATATCAGCGTACTAATAAAAACAGACAAATCCAGCAGATTGCACCCTCTTTCTCAGTGCCTACCAGTGTGTTGCAGCCTCTTTATGAAGACCCCACTGTTAATCCAAAAATGGCAGCAAAGATAGAAAGACAGCAGAGGTAAGATAATAGTACTAGATTTTTAATGTACAGTTGTTTATTTTAAATCTGTACAGATATGATTATCTTCCTTAGTGTAAATCATGTATAAGTAGAGAAATTGGTTGATGCACAGTAATTTATGCACATATAGATAGTCCCTTATTTAATATAAATATTTGTAATGAATTAAGTTACTATTTTATTTTGCATTAAAATACTTTCAGAAACTAACTTGATATGGAAAATAAGTCTATTTCTATTTTGATACAAAGGATGAACCCTTGGAATTTTAGAGGAGCAAACAGAAATGTGTACACATAATTTTGGCCCTTTGTTAATCCTGGGCCTTTGGATGTTTTCTAGGATATAAAATCATTGCTCTTGTAGCATAATCACTGCGATACAGGATTTTACTAAGTCTGAAATGCAAGATTATGGCTATCCCTACAAGCTGTACATCATTACCTTTGTATATAATATTTCTGTTACTTATGTTGCATGATAACCCCAAAATGTAGTGACCTCTATTCCAGTATCAATTTGCAATTTCTCATGATTTTGGATTGTAGTTCTGCTCCCATGTCTGGTGTTGATTATGGTACTCGGATGACTCAACGGTTTGAAATGGACTCAAGGCTGGCAGACAGTACTGGCTGCCAACTAGGCCAGTATGTTTCTAGAAGTGTCGCTACTGCCGTTTTCTTTGGAGACAGATAGGAAGGTCGGTAGGTAGACAGACAGACATTAGAGCCAGGCCAGTTTAAGGGAAAGGGAAATAAATTCATTCTGTTTCTCAGTGGGAAACGTGGCAAAGACTTTGTGGCTACCTTTAGTTAGTCTGTCAGTACTAAATTGTTCTATCTGAAATTTTATCCATCATTCTCTTAGAGAAAAAGTCCAATATCTAAAGGTTAAATTAATCTCTATTGCACCAAACACTCAGTGTAAGGTCATCATGAGTTGGAATTGACTCAGCTGCAGTGTGTTTATTCTTATGTGCTGTCTAGTCAGTTGCAACTCATAATGATCCTGTGTGGTTTTGGTTTTAGGGTTTTTTTTTCCTTTTTAAAGGATATTCTGCAGTTTTTTTGATTGAATAGAAACTATTCTTAGCCATTTACAGCTGATTATTATCAGATCCTAACCACATTTCCTTCTCTTCCCTATGTAGTTATAGATCTATATCTATTCCCTTCATTTTCCTTATCAGTTTGAAGTACATGTTACTCCCCAAAATGCAGGGTACTCTATTTGTATCATTGCCTTTTCTCTCACATCTTAAATGCCACTTTCTTGGTCACCCACGTCAGAATTTATCCTTCCATCTGCTCTCTTGTTTTGTGTGATGACTATAACAAGTGTTCAATTATACAACATAGTATGACTATGTTTGACAGTGCTTGATCTGTATGCTTAAAGCAGAGTCAGTTTGAGTCATCTATATAGCTTATCTCATGTAGTAACTGAGCGGTAAACTATTCTTATAGAATGGTTAGATGGAAGAGTAGAGTACCATTTAAAAATATACTTCCAATGAAATAAACTTGAATATTCAAATGTTTAGGTATCAGAAGAAGAAATTTTTTGTAGTCTATATTCTCTATTACTAAATACTTATTTTAACATATGGGATTTGTGTATATATATATATATATATTTTTTTTTTACCTCATTTCAAAACAGATGGACAAGAAGAGAAGAAGCTGACTTTTATAGAGTTGTATCTACATTCGGAGTGGTATTTGATCCTGATAGAGGCCAGTTTGATTGGACAAAATTTAGAGCGATGGCTCGACTACATAAGAAAACTGATGATAGTTTGGAGAAGTATTTGTATGCTTTCATGTCTATGTGTCGGAGAGTTTGTCGTCTTCCTTCCAAAGAAGGTTTGTATGTAATTTTCTCCTTTCATTTTTGTGTTTTGGTCAACATTAAGAAGCTCAAAATTTCTGAAGTGTCTAACTTATCTCTATTATAAAGAATTTCAGTACCATTTAATCCAACAGATTGGCCATTTGTCAAAAATTTAATGAGCCAAGCTGAAAGACCGCCTTTTATTTGATCCTATGATTAAAATGAGATCTATAGAGACTAAAGGTATACACTGGGTTTTCAATAAATAGTGTTTATCATTAGATTTATAATTAAAGATAGCCTGCACCTGTTTCAGGCCATGATTTTTTCAGTTACTTGTTGTGCTTCAGAGCACTAAACAATGACTTAGGATGACAGAAGAAGAATTGATGCTTTTGAACTGTGTTGGATAATAGTACTGAATAGTCCATTGAACTGTCAAAAGAACAAACAGATATGTCTTGGAGAAGGTCCAGCCAGGAATTGATGGAATAACAATTGAGGCATTTCAACACATAGGGTATAGCCCTAAAGATGCTCACTAGCTTATGCCAAGAAATTTGGAATTGAGTTACCTGGACAGCTGACAAGGGAGAGAGACATATATTTGTTAATCAATTTTTAAAAAATCTTATCCCACAGAGTACAGAAATTACTGAAAATATCATTATTAGGACATTCCAGTAAAATACTCATGAAGTTTATTTTTAAACGTTTGGAAAAACATTGATGAACTGCCAGAAATTCAAGCTGGATTCAGAAGAGCCTATAGAATGAGGGATAACATTACTGATTTCTGACAAATCTTGGTTGAAAGCAGAGAATTAGAAAGATCTTTACTTGAGTTTTGTCACCTATGTAAAGACATTTGACAGTGTGGATCATAAGTTATAGATAACATTATAAACAGTGAGAATGCCAGAATATTTACTTGTGTTCATTTAAAATTTATATTGACCCAAGAAGTAGTTATCTGAACAAAGGCAGGAAATTGATCTAATGTTAATATGGAAATACTTCGGCTAGTAGCTTATTTAGCTGTTACTATTTCCCCCTCAAAATTTCAAGAAATCCCTTGGTGCTTTTTTTTTTTTTCCCCTTGGTGCCTTTTGAGTTCACTGCTTTACTTGAGTTGCCTTAATGCAGTTTAAGAAATATAGACTGAACATTTATTTATATAGTACCGTTTAATAATTTTTATTTGTACCTTAGGAAGTTTGGACAAATATTTTTCCCTTAGATTAAGACAGATATTAACTAGTCATTGCTCATAAAGAATTTCTTAAAAGTAAATTCTTCATTATTACTTACTTTAAAAAAAAGTTTATTATTTTTGTATGTGTCTACTGTCAAATCTGACTGAATGGTGCAGGAGGAAATTGTCCCTCCTTCTCCAGCAGAGCATCTGTTGCATTTGAACCACACACCTCTGGGATTGCAGTGCAGCATTCTTGCCACCAGAGCTTACCTGTCATTACTTACTTTAAGAAAATGTAATGTACTCTTTATTTTAAATACATGTTCTCCTAATTTTAAAATATTAAAGAATTAATAGATTGTTGTTTGAATCTGCCAGCTGTTCCACAGGAGAATGATGTGAAAGTCTCCTGTGTGATTTACAGCCTTTGAAAACCCACTAGAGGATCAGCTATTTGTTGGTCTAATTCAGCAACACAGCAACATAAGGTGATCCTCAGCTGAGGGCTTTTTAAAGTTTTTGTTGTTCTTTTTGTTTAATGAGGAAAATGTATATATTTTTAAAATGCTATTTATAAATAAATAGCGAGCCGGACACATTTTCTGTTCCCCCAATTTTCTTGGCTACATTGAAGCATAATAGTCAGGAGCTAAGTCGAACATAGGCCTTCTTCACTCCTTCAGTCATGATCAAGGTTTTGACCTTGGCCACATCAATGTCATAGACCTTCACAGCTTGCTTAATCTGGTGCTTTTTAACCTTCACATCCATGGTAAGCACAAGTGTAATGTTCTGGTTTCTTCATGGCTGATTTAGGATCTGGGGAACTTGATGGTGTAGTGGTTAAGCTTGTTTTATCTAGTGGTGCTCTTTCAGGAGTATTTGCATTGCCTTTGTAGTCTTGGCGTCTTGTGCTGAGTTCAGGTGGGTAATATGTACATCTTTCCGTGGCTGTGGATGCCCTTCAGAACTTAGTCTTTACTGTCTTTTGTGCCTTTGCTCAGGCTTCATATTTGGGAGGGGCAAGGGCTTCCTTTCCCCACATCTCCCAACACCAACTTCATACAAAAGCAGCAGAAGCATATTGAGTAATACAGGGCTTCCCCTCATTTTTGCTAGTTCTCTTGTTGCCACTTGATGTTTACCAAATAGCTGGGTTAGTATTTGGTTTTGAGAAATAAATCCAAAGTAGATATTTTTCTTGTGCCTAAAACAAGAAAAAAGCAAAATTATCCATCTGCATTTGTTGTGTAGTGGACTGTTGAAGAGGCAGCACACATCCCTCGCAGTCAGCATGAGTGGCATATTTGTATTACATCTGTAAATACTGGAATAGCCCTGATTTGCATGGCAGTGGATTTACATTGCATCTGTACATAAGTTTTATGAATTAGTTGTTAGGCTTTGGGAGATTCCTTTTTGTCCATGAGCATGCTTGAAAGTATATCCATAGAAATAAATAGTTACTGCTTCTTCAATTTAATATTTTGTTCTCTTTTCAATATAGAATTAGTGGATCCAAATATTTTTATCCAGCCAATCACAGAAGAACGTGCTTCTAGAACCTTGTATCGCATTGAACTTCTAAGGAAAGTACGGGAACAGGCTCTGCGACATCCACAGTTATTTGAACGCTTAAAGCTGTGCCATCCAAGTCCAGATTTACCCATCTGGTGGGAATGCGGCCCTCATGATAGAGATTTGCTTATTGGAGCTGCTAAACATGGAGTTAGCCGAACAGACTATCATATTCTCCGTGATCCTGAGCTATCATTTATGGCAGCACAAAGGAACTACAGTCAAAATAAGATGGCTCATTCCAGGACTTCTACCCCACTTTTACAGCAATATCAAGTAGCACTTTCAGCTTCCTCTCTTACCTCTCTCCCTAGACTTCTAGATGCTAAAGGTATAATTCTAGATGATGTGAAAGTTAAAAGTGAAAACCTTAAAGAAGAGCCTCAGTCTTCTGAAGAAGAATCTTTATCTTCTGAGGAAACCAAGACACTAATAAAATCTGAGCCAGTCAGTCCAAAGAATGGTGTTTTACCACAGGCTACTGGAGATCAGAAATCTGGTGGGAAAGGAGAAACAGAAAGACGCATGGTTGCAGCCAGAACCGAACCCCTAACTCCAAACCCACCATCTAAGAAACATCGGGTCCACAAAAGACGGTCAGAATGTAGTTCAGATTCCGATTCGGATTCTGACAGGTCATCATGTTCTTCCAGATCGTCTTCCTCCTCCTCTTCCTCTTCCTCTTCTTGTTCCCACTCACGATCAGGCTCTAGTTCTTCCTCCTCTTCATCTTGTTCTTCAGCTTCGTCATCTTCCTCCTCTTCTTCCTCCTCATCTTCCTCTTCATCATCCTCAGAAGAGAGTGACAGTGAAGAAGAGGAAGTCCAAAAACGAGGTATGTACTTAAAAATATATTTTGCCCTTCTTCAGACAAAATTCCAAACGGAAAGGACAATTAGATGAGTGTGTTTAACATTGTTAGCTTAAAATTCATATGTATGCATTGTTTAAGAGATGGACACTGTATAGGAAACTGGAAGTACTGGTACCTATTCCTTTTCACTGCCAGAATTGAACAAATGGATTAGCCAGCCGTAATTACAGGTTTCACAGAACAATTTTTTCTATGATTGCCTCAAATTTAGTATTAAATATTAGATGAAATACTCTCCAGATTAGCACAAGCCTGGTTTGGCACTCATCCAAAGAAGACCAGGATTGGAAACTCCATCTTATCAGCAGTAGTAGTATTAAGTGGTCCTGTTCGCATGTGTCCCGCAATTTATAGACAAGGAAAGTGAGACCACATTAAGAATCCTCTATCACAAATCCATAGGCCTAAATTCCAAGATTGCCAAAGGGACATGTCCAATTTCAAGTCATTTAGGGTACCATGGTATCCCCATCAAGTATATATTATCTTCACTGTTCAGATACATTTCAGTCAGGAGTTATTTTTTTTTTTTATTAAGACAGCGTTGCTTGTTTTCACCTGTGTAAAAGGAACACATGTAGGAAGTTCACTGAGGGTCGTACTTTCAGGAAGAAGAGAATGCTTTTTTAAAAAAATGTTACCCTCCTTAACATCATTTACTTTGCATTTGCACTAATTTTAAATTGAACAATTATTCTATCGTGTTCTAAGTTACAGTTTTCATCTTTCATTTTTTACTTTTAAATATACGTGTGTGTGTGTGTGTGTGTGTGTGAAATTATTTTACACAGTCTTGTGCAATCATTGTTCTTAGCAGAAGGTACCCCTCACATGAAAGCCTTTGACGAAGAGAGTATTGCATCACTGAGCACTACCCAGGATGAGACTCAGGATAGCTTCCAGATGAACAATGGGGCACAAGAGTCTGCTTACATCTTACAAGGTGGATATATGCTTGCAGCATCATATTGGCCAAAGGTAAGTGAGTAATTATTGATCAGTTAATCAGTTTTTTAAGTATTATATTACGAGTACTAATATTCTTTAAAAAAAAAATAAGTCATTGAAAAATTTAGGGTGGCATTTATTACTATCAACTGGGTTGTAAAACCCTGTCAGTGCCATCAAACTCTGAATTGAACGGGAGGATGTGGCCCATCGTGCTCCTGTGAAGTAGCTTGTGAATTCAGATCACCAGGGAAGCACCACCTTTGGGTCAGCAGCGCTACTCAGTACAGACTGTACCACCTAAGCAGGGACTACCCAGTGTGGATGTTTCTCGAGATAACCATAAGATGTTTCAAAAAGGTCACTACACATGTTAACATTAAAGATAAAAACAAAACATGTTAGCCAATCATAGGCTTTTTTGTTAAAGAGATTGTTTCTTTTTTACATTTTTATTTTATATTGGTTTGCTTACAAAGTTGTAAGCTTTATGTTGCACACTGTCCTTCATTCACATTGTTTCATGCAGTCATTCCCATTAGTCCTCTTTGAACCATGTCCACCATTATCCTGTCTTTCCATATCCCATATACCTATCTCTCCCTCTCACTCACTTTTAAAGTTGTTTTTTTGTTTTTGTTTTTGTTTTTTTAAACCTTTTTTAAATTTATTTTTATTTTATTATTTTCACATATACTGTCAAATCAGATCTGACTGGTACAGGAGGAGATTGCCCCCTCCTTCTCCAGCAGAGCATCTGGTGGATTTGAACCACATACCTCTGAGATTGCAGTGCAGTGTCTTGCCACTAGGCCACCAGAGCTCCCTCACTTTTAATGTTTTTTTTAAAATTTTCATTGTTGCACAATTTCTTCCCCCTTCCCTCCCCACAGTGCACCCCTTCTTCCAGATTGTTGTCATACATACAATACCTAAACCAGTATTCCTTTCAGACAGTATTCATTATCCATTCTTTTCCCATTCTCTCCCTACCCCACACCCCCATCTGTGTCCTGTTTTATAACAGGAATGTTATGCACTTTGTCCTTTTGTGATTGAGTCATTCCACTCAGCATAATGTCCTCTAGTGTCCGTCCAGTTGTGTAGTTTTACAAGTTCATTGGTTTTTGAAGCTGCATAATATTCCATTGTGTGAATGAACATTCCATAGTTTTTCTATGAATTCCTTTATTGATGGTTACATGGGTTGCATCCATCTCTTTGCTATTGTGAATAACACAACAATAAACATTGATGTGCAAACATCTGTTTGAGTCTTGGCTCTGTTCTATTTAGATCATTTTCCAAGTAGTGGTATTTCTATCTTCATCTTTTTTTTTTTTTTTTAAATTTTGTGTGTGTGCTGTCAAATTGGATTCGACTGGTACAGGAGGAGATTATCCCTCCTTCTCCAGCAGCGCATCTGGTGGATTCAAACTGCTTACCTCTGGGATTGCAGTGCAGCTTCTTTCCACTAGGCACCAGAGCTCCCTCTATTTTCATCTTTTTTGAACAAGCACCAGACTACCTTCTGTAGTGACATTTTACATTTTTAACGGCAGTGAAGAAGAATTGCAATCTTTCCACACCCTCGCCAGCTCTTGTTGTTTGCTGGAATGTTAAACTTTGCTGATTTTGTTGGGGGACAAGATATTTTAACTGTGTTTCCTTGAAGGCATTGTAACATAGGACCTAAAGTTCATTTTAGCATGTATATGTTCAGTGACTGAAAAAGTTATGGTTGAGTTACTATAATCCTTTTTCTAGTATGTTGAAGATTTTTTAAAAAATTTTTTAAAGTACATTTTTTAAATTTATATTCATTTCAATGAAAATTTACAGAGACTTTGTATTTCTATTTATTCACTGTTGCACTTTTCTTCCTTCCCAACCCTCCCCACCTAGTACACTACCAGAAGGTGTAGAAAAGTAAAAGAAAAATTCTTTCATTGTTGTAAAATAATGTAAAGCCCGCCCCCCAGGTCCACTCCACTATACAGCCTTCACTTTGGACTCCTGTCATGACAAAAATACCTAATAATTTTCCCTCTTAAACAGTTTTCTCCCTTATCTGTTTCAATGCAGTTATACATTTTTGAACCCATCCTTCTCAGACTCCTCCCAACACCATGCAGTATTTGTCCTTTTGTGACTGAGATACTTCACTCAACATAATGTCCTCCAGGGTCACCCATTTTGAATAATATTGCATGAGTTCCTTGTTTTTCAATGCAGCGTAGTATTCTGTTGTATGAATATACCACAGCTGCTCTATCCATTTGTTTGTTGATGGGCACTTGCTATTGTGAACAAAGCATGATAAACATGGGTGTGCATCAGATTTTTAATATTATGTCTATATACAAAGTAATAATTCCTTTTACTATGTAATACAAAATAAAATTTTAATGTTTACTTATAAATGTTTTAAAATTTAAAGCAAATGTAATTTAAAACTTAGCATTTGTGTCTTTGAACTAGTAAATTTTTCCATTTCCTCTGAATTAACAATTAAGAAATACTGTAAAGATGCTCAGCTTTAACAATGAAATAATGTTGTATACCATCAAGTTGAGATCAACTCATAGCTGAACCACCAGCGGATTTTCAGAGGTATTTAATCGCTAGGAGACTTCCCATCTTTCTTCTGTGTAGCCCTTGGCAAATTCTAACCCTGTACCCTTGGGTTGACAGCACAGTCTTGTCATGACATTAGCAAAAAAGCAGTAACGTGGATGCTTGCAGTTATCTAGAACGGTGATAAGTAATATCTTAAAGGTACATGTCAGAAGAATACAGAGTATAGTTTTTATGAGAAAGATAAAGTGTTATGTTTTAGAGTAGATTTATTTATAACAAAATATAAAGAAAGATTGTATGTTAAATTGTTTCTAGTGCTTCTGTCTTTAGAAGTAAAATTGGGAAATGTTGAGATTGAAGGAGACTTTAATCTTTTATAGCTTTCTGGTTTTTATAGGAAAGCTATTTTACTACTTTTTTTTATTATTTAAAAAATGGAAGCATAGAAACTGTCTTTATAATTTTGAACCTCACAAAATGTAATTTGTTCCTAAATAATAATCTGATTTTATGTATAAGGTAAATTATGTGTGGGTTCCTTGATCCCCAAAGTTCTGGCCTAATTTGGAAATTATAATTTGCAATTGCCTAATTCTTCAGGATCGTGTGATGATCAACCGGTTGGACAGTATTTGTCAAACAGTTCTGAAAGGGAAGTGGCCTTCGGCTAGAAGAAGTTACGATGCTAATACGGTGGCTTCTTTCTACACTACAAAACTGCTGGACAGTCCAGGAGCAGCTACAGAATACAGTGAGCCCAGTGTACCCACTCCGTCAGGTGCAAGCGTTAAAGAAGAACGTGACCAGTCACCACAGATGTCAAAGGTGAAGAAGCATGTACGAGAAAAGGAGTTTACAGTGAAAATCAAAGACGTATGTTTCCTTTTATTGCCCTAGGACCTGATTGCGATTGCGGTGTGCAGCATGCTTTTCCTGCAGATGGCTGCCTGCTCTTACTCTTACTTCCTTCATAGACTTGGGTTTATTTTTCTAGTGTTCGGATTGGTTTCTTTTTTTATCTCAGGTTATTGAACTGGAGTATTTTGCTAGTGGCATCATCACTAAATGTTTCTCTCCTTAATACTTCTCAAAGTAGTACTTCTGCTGTTCCAGATGCTTTCTTAAACAATCTGACATATGCTAACCAAGCTGGTAATTTTTTTATAATACTTAAATGCTATATTAGTGCATTCTCTGTGTTTTAAACATTTAGCATACACAGTTATTAGTAACAATTCCATTTTTAATGAGATTCTTTAAAGATGAAATAGTAAGTGTCCACACTATGGGTAGCATCCTCTAAAATCCCGTCTCAGTGAGGTATGTAGAGATTTATGTCTACAGCTGAGTGTGTTCAGATGTACAGTGTGGTTATGTGCCACTAAGTTGAAACCAACTCATAATTGACCACCAGGTTTTCAGAGGCAGTAAATCTCACAGTAGGAGATTCCCCATCCTGCCATGAAGGAGCTGTTGATTTAAACGAGGTACCTTTGGGTTGGCAATGCAACTCGTTACCACTATGTCATTAGAGAAGATTGAAATTTTCATGTTACACTATATAATATTTACAGTGTCCGGATTTCCCCCTCATTTACCATAGGGAATTTAATATTCATTCTAGAAATTGGTTAAAATATTAGCTTCAATTGATTTCTTAACAAGAATTTGATTAGTGTTTTAGGGTTTTTACTTCATTCCTTAAAAATAAGAAAAAGATTCTCTTAACATCCTACAATAAGGTTTAACATTTCCTTTCATAATAACAGGAAGGTGGTTTGAAATTGACGTTTCAGAAGCAGGGGCTTGCTCAGAAGAGACCGCTGGACAGTGAAGATGGAGCCCTCGGCCAGCAGCAGTACCTCACCCGCCTTCGCGAGCTTCAGAGCGCATCAGAGACTGGCCTTGTCAATTTCCCAAAATACATGCCAGCATCAGGTGAATATGCAAGTAAAAAGAGGTTTTTTTCTTTTCTTTTGAATAAAAATTTATAAATCACAATTGATTTTTCTTTTAATCATGCAGACATTTTGTTTTGTAACATTAATGACCATTGATAAATATAATTAATTACAGAGTCTAGTCAAACTCTTACTATATATTGCCTTTCCCTTTGTCCAGCTTATTTATTAATTTTTACACACTTTTCCTTTCCTTCTCATTCCTGTTAATTTTCCAAATTGATTCTGCCTGTTGGTAAAAAAATAATGTTAGTATATAGTAGTCCTTACAATTTCCAGATCCTCTTTATAAGGCTCCTCTAATAAAAATACAATTGCCCTTTAATACTGCGTAAGTCTGTAAATTAATCAGTATTATTTTATTTTAGCTTTTAAATCTTAATGTGTGTAGAAGCTATGAATAAGACATTTTAAAGTATACAAGGCAATTTCATTTGCAGTGGATGACGTTATATTTTTAGCTTTATATAGCTAAAAGTTTAAATTATTTCAACATGGAAGCAAATGCATAATTTAAAAGCAAACACTAAAATTATGAAGCAATGACATTTGGTAGAATATTTTTAAATTACACATTTTATAAAATTTTTAGAGGTCATATAATCCAACTAGCTATAGGTTACAAGAACTGTTTATAGGGGAGCTCTGTTGGCCTAGCGGTGAGAAGCTACACTGCAATCCCAGAGGTGAGCAGTTCAAATCCACTAGATGCTTTGTTGGAGAAGAAGGGGCAATCTCCTCCTGTACCAGTCAGATTTGTTTTGATAGTACACACACACACACACACACACACAATAATAATAATAATTTTAAAAAAGAACTGTTTATAGTTAATCTCTAAAAGATTAATTGAAGTACCAGGATCTCACTGGATTAAGTAACCCTGAATCATGAGAAGATGTAATTGTCATAACACTTGTCATTTCTTCTTATTAGAAAGCAAAAATCTGCCTTTTATCCATTCTTCCCAGTACGCAGATTCTGTCTTGAAAAGCAACCCATTGTATTCCTATATGATGAATTTTTCATTTTGGAAGTTACCATGTCTGTGTTTGGGATTATTATTCTTTTAATCTTTTGAAAGTTTTAGTTAAGAAATAGTAATATCTTCATTTGAGCTAAGAAATATTAGATACCTACTTGATGTTACATGCTGCTTAGCCATCCAGTAGTACATCCCAAGTTTATTTCTTTACTGTTTTCTATTCTGGTCTCGTGTCCTTACATTTTACTACCTAGAATTGAGATTGCTGCCTTCTCAATGTTAGGGAGCACTGGTGACAATCCAAAGGCACAAGGTTCGAATCCACCAGCTGCCCTGCAAGAGAAAGATGAGCAATGTCCTGTAACAACTCAGGATTAGCTGAGGCTTAACGTGTGGACAGTAGAGCACTAATGCCCCAAAATGCAACTGTTGAATTCTTTTATAATCTTCCCTTTTCATGAAGTCAAGGATTCTTTTTCCATATTCTAATAAGTATTGCTACTTGGCAGTACTTGGAAAATTTCAGAATTCCTCTTATGTATGTATATATGATATTCCTACAGATTGTAGAGATAATATCTTATTTGGTCCTTCTTAATTGATTACTTTTTCCAGTGCTACAGTTAATACTTTTATGTTATAAGTTGTTTAGAGTTCCTGTTTCATGTATTTATTAATAATCAGTGTAATTTTCCAGTTGTTAAGATTTTGTCAGTCATGCATACATTGTAATTCAAATATGCACATTCTTTTATTACTAAATTATAAACCCCTAAAATTTCTTTTATAAAATATTTAGCATCTCAAGCATAATATTCTACAGAGTTGTTGTTTAAGCATTATATCTTATTTGTCTTAATAACTGCAAATGTGAAATTAGTTTTATCTTACTCTGTGACAAATTTGTTATCAATTTTTAAAACTGTATTTTCTTGTTTGGGAAATTGGGATGGTGTAGGATGGAAGTGTCATATAAATCAAATGAAACAACATATATAAAGTGGCTTGTATGGAACATGGAATATAAGTAGATAATAGGCAGGAATTAAAAATAAACAGTTTATAATTAAATGTTATGATAGTTAAATTCTAAATTTTTATGGTTTTGTATCTTTGTGTACCCTCTGAATTATATATAAAAACACTGACAATAATAATTTCTGGATTATAATAAGAGAAAATTTAGTGATCCCAATCTATAAATTACCTGGAATCTTTGGGAAAGGATGATAGCACTAACTAGCAAAACTTAATATTGTATTAACAGAATTCTGTTTACTTGGTATTTTAACTTTGTGCCAGACACTTTGTATTTGTGATTTAATTTCTGGAAGCTGGCTGAATAATACCTATGTTTTTGATTGTTTTCTTTTTCATGCTTACAGATAGCACTTTCCTTTCCTAAATCACAGTAGTTGAATAAACACCTGAAATTACATCCTTGAGATAAGTCTTCTTAAGCTTTAAACCTGGAGTTTCATCTTCTGCCTTATTTTGACTCATTTATTAGTTTACTTTAGCTAGCAAAGAATACCCACCCTAAGCATTGTGTTCTAAAAAGAACTGTCTGCCTGGATGCTCGCTTCAGCAGCACATGTACTGAATTTGCAGTGTGAAAGAGAATATTAGCATGGTTCCTGCTTATGGGTGAAACACATTCTTGAAGCATTCCAAATTTTTACTGTATAGCATTTGCCCAAGGATAACGCCCTGATGGCAGGAGATTAGGGGAAATAAGAAGTCAATAAGAAATTTGCTGTTACATGGTGAATGTCATAAACATTACAAAACGAAGTATCTGTGAATGGCTGAATGAAAAATCCAATTGTTTTAGAAATTGTTACTCAACTCACAGTTTAAAAAGCTGACTATATTAAGGTCAAATTGACAAACAGCAACTTAAAATACTAGAATGAAACTTCTTGTTGTTATGTGCCATTGAGTCGCCTGCAACTTATAGTGACCCTGTGTATAACAGCCCTAATACTTGCTTTATCCTGTGCCAATCACACTGCCTCGGACACACCTGTCCCCATTACCCCAGTCACTGAATCTGTCCATCTTTTTGAGAGGGTCTTCCCCTTCTGTGCTGTCCCTCCACCCTCCCAAGCATGACATCCTTCTCCAAGGACTATTCCTGCCTTGTAACATGTCAGACAAAGCTTCAGAATCCTTGCCTCCAAGGAGCAGCCTGTTCTCACCATCTCTAGGACAAATTTGTTTGTTCTAGCAGTCCATGATACATTCAATGCTCAGAATGAAACTTAGCAATACATTTATGTTAATGAAGAAGTAACAATTCAAAAAAAGGAGGATAGGAATAGTTGTAAAAGTTGAAGAAAGTAATTGGTGTCAATGAATTGTGTATATAGAATGGATTAATTAGTCTATATTCAGTGCATATTCTCAACAAATAATTCAAGAGTTTTTTACATCTCCATGAGTTTATCAAGATTCTGACCTTTTGAGTTATTTCTTTGTGGGTTCAAACTACAAGCCTTTTGGCTAATAGTTGAGCCAGTAGTTGGGGCTTTTAGGCGTTCACTAGAAAGAAGCTATTTCAAATGTTGTTAATATTAACATTCAAGATAAAGAAATTTTATAAAGTAGATTAGGCTAAATTTCCATTTGAATTCTAGTTTAAAATTACAGTAATATTTTGAAAATCACTTCTGTTAATACATATTTTAAACAAAGAGTGACCAAATTAAGCTATGTATGCACTACATAAATAATTAGTTCTCTTTTTCTGATAAACTAGCATAGCACTGAGAAGAAAAAAATTGAAAACACTGTCTCTGAGTTTCAGTTGATAAGTTAAAACTGTATATTAAAATATTAGATAATACATTGTTGTTGTTGCTGTTAAGTGCTGTTGAGTCGCAGGCAACTCATAGCGATGCTATGAAGGAGAGTCCTTGACGCTAGATAATATATTAAATAATATTAAAAGATTATCATTCTTTACATTTTTAAGTGAGAAATGGGAGAAATGCGTTTATTTTAACAATTGCTTAAATTATGATATTTATGAACTAACTTCCATCTGATAAGAATAAGGATTACTTTTCATTTTTTTTTAGAACTATACTTTTGTCATTCATTATATTACATTTTTTTCTTTGATCAGGTACTTCCATTCAGCCAGCCCTTGGTGCCAATGGAATGGTATTAGACAACCAGCCTATAGTCAAAAAAAGACGGGGAAGAAGGAAGAATGTAGAAGGTGTTGACATTCTCTTTTTTAATAGAAACAAACCACCTAATCATGTAAGTAAAGCAGTAATTAAAAAGTACTGTCTCTCAAGCAGGATAGCTCACAGGCAGGCATAGAGGAGAAAGAAGGAAAAAACATTTACATAAAATTTTCATGTTTTTTCCACAGGTTACTCTAGGTATAACCACCTCACAAATTGCTACAGGGATGAATCCAGCTCTTTCCTATACTCAACCTCAAGGAATACCTGATACGGAAAGTCCAGTGCCAGTTATTAACCTCAAAGATGGGACTAGGCTTGCAGGTGATGATGCACCGAAGAGAAAGGACTTTGAAAAATGGCTTAAGGAGCACCCAGGTTATGTGGAAGACTTAGGAGCTTTTATTCCTGTAGGTGACATCTTCAAATTCTTGTTATATTTGATGTGGATGACTTGTCAGACTTAAAATTGTGAAACATGACTTCTCTTCTGTTTATTCTAAATAATTCTTCTTCCATAGATTTAGGAAAATTATAGAAAAAATAATTACCATCTTCCCCATGGGACAGTAAAGCTTTTTCCGGTTTTCTAGTCATGGCAGTGTTTGAATAAACATCAAATCCTGAAGAATAAAACTGCTAATCCTTTCCCTCAGGCAGTTTATAGAAAAGTAATGAGGGTTGATCATGGTTGACATTTATTGAGACTTTAGTTCTGGCATTATGCTTAGCCTTTTATTCTATTAATTAATAATAGTCCTATGAAGTGGCATTATCATAACCACTTACAGATCATGAAATTGAAATCTAAAAATTTTAAGTAAATAGTTCAAGGTCACATTGCTAATAGATTGTAATTTCAGAGTCCACACTACTGTTCTAGATTCATAGAGTTTAAGTATTTGTAACCTGTTCTTCAAGCTAAAGGAATATGACTTTGTTTCTCCAGATACATAATGAATTTATATTGCTCAAAGATAAGAAACATTTAATTTGTATTCCCCAAATGCTACTTACTGAACTCTTCTAAGCATGTGCCTCCTTTCTCCTACAGAGAAACCGATGTTTGATTTGTAGTCTTTTGCTATAAGATGCTGATGTACCCGATTTTATGACAGCAATCCTAGCACTTCTGTGTATTTTATAAGATAAAAGAGTAAAGACATTTATTCTTTATACAGTGCAGCTTCCAGGCTGTCCTTTCTGCCTCCAGTTATTGTTGTTAGGTACTGTCACCAATAGGAAGATTAAACAGGTAACTTCATCAAATGTTAAAAAAATAATGGACAATTTTTCTTCAGTTATCTACTTAGTAACCTTGGGACTAAATTAGAAAACTGAATTGTATCTAAGAAATGATGAGACTGGTTGCAAATAACTATAAACTGCAAACACTGCTTTGTTACCATTTGTAGAAGTTACAGAACAGAATATGATGGAAGAGTAGTTTTATTGTTATATTGGTTCTCACTGTGTCTCTGCCACTGCCACTTGCTGCTTGTATAACTTTTGTTTCCCTTTTGTAAAATAAAAGTAATACTTTAATATTTTTTAAGAATACATGAGAAGAGATCACAGAACTGTAACTAAAAAGAAAATAAAGAGTAACAATTAACATAAATTTTAAATTCTGTTAGAGAAGGCAGGGAACTCATAATGATCCTGTGTGGTTTTGGTTTTAGGGTTTTTTTTTCCTTTTTAAAGGATATTCTGCAGTTTTTTTGATTGAATAGAAACTATTCTTAGCCATTTACAGCTGATTATTATCAGATCCTAACCACATTTCCTTCTCTTCCCTATGTAGTTATAGATCTATATCTATTCCCTTCATTTTCCTTATCAGTTTGAAGTACATGTTACTCCCCAAAATGCAGGGTACTCTATTTGTATCATTGCCTTTTCTCTCACATCTTAAATGCCACTTTCTTGGTCACCCACGTCAGAATTTATCCTTCCATCTGCTCTCTTGTTTTGTGTGATGACTATAACAAGTGTTCAATTATACAACATAGTATGACTATGTTTGACAGTGCTTGATCTGTATGCTTAAAGCAGAGTCAGTTTGAGTCATCTATATAGCTTATCTCATGTAGTAACTGAGCGGTAAACTATTCTTATAGAATGGTTAGATGGAAGAGTAGAGTACCATTTAAAAATATACTTCCAATGAAATAAACTTGAATATTCAAATGTTTAGGTATCAGAAGAAGAAATTTTTTGTAGTCTATATTCTCTATTACTAAATACTTATTTTAACATATGGGATTTGTGTATATATATATATATATAT